GGAGGCAGTGTGAGTTTAGACAACTGTTTAGAAAATTGATTCTAAGAGAAACATAATATTGACTTAGTGTCTAGAGAAGATCCACCTATCCATTCTTCCTCTGTCATTCCTTCCCTCCCCTTCCTTCCTCCTCCAACCCTCCTTCCTCTCTCTCTCCTTCCCTCGTCTTCCTCTTTCTCTCTCATCCTCTCTCCCCTCCTTTCCTTGTCCATCTGGCCTCCCCCCTCCCTTTTTCCTGGTAGAGGCTTGACCACATTTAAAGCTTACGGTAGGGATACAATTGAATGGAAGAGATTTGATGCACACAGAGAAAAGGGACACTTGGTATTTTCACATTCCTGAGAAGGCACTGAAGAAACAGTGAAGGAACAGACTTTCGGTTAAGAGGAGAGCTAGCTCTGTTGTTACAGGAGAGGACAGAAAGATGAAGAAGTCAACAGGATATGTCTGGTAGCTGGAATTTCAGGAAGTTGCATCGATGGCTTCTATATTTCCTTTACACCGTATGTTGGGCATTATATTAGAGGGTTTTTTTTTTTTAAGATTTATTTATTTGAAAGGCAGTGAGTTACAGAGAGGCAGAGGCAGAGGCAGAGACAGACAGAGAGAGAGAAAGAGAGAGACAGAGAGAGAGAGGTCTTCCATCTGATGGAAGATGGCCACAATTTCCAGAGCCGTGCCGATCCGAAGCCAGGAGTCAGGAGCTTCTTCCAGGTCTCCCACGCAGGTGCAGGGGCCCAAGGACGTGGGCCATCTTCTACTGCTTTCCCAGGCCATAGCAGAGAGCTGGATTGAAAGTGGAGTAGCTGGGACTCAAACCAGGGCCCACATGGGATGCCAGCACTGCAGGTGGAGGCTTTACCTGCTACACCACAGTACTAGCCTCTTTTTTTTTTTTTTAAACATTTTAAACTTAATCTTTACAACCATTCTGTAATGCTGGGATTGTTAATATGATCACTTTATATTTGAGGAAACTGAAGCTTATGTTGAAAACCTGACCACAGTTTTGACTTAACAAACAATAGAACCAGAAGTTCAATCTGTATCTACCTACAAAGATTATTATAGAGTTGATTGGACACATCCAAAGTATATAGCAAAAAAAAAAAAAAGATTCAATAAGACTCTATGAATAATTACTTATGAGAAATTATAGGAATCATTTAAGAAGTCAAATTTTCATGTGTTGATTTTTGGGACAATTACTGTGCTATGGAGAGGCAGAGAAAATTTTGGATTTGGACCAGGTTAAACATGAACTGATTGACAAACATGTAAGTTAAGTATCTGGATAACTCTTAGATAGTAGGATAGGGCTGGAAATATAGATTTAGGAGAAATAAATACAAAAGTGATATTAAAGCCATTATGGATGAATGACCAAAAGAAAAGAGTGCAGGAAGGGGCAGAGTTAAAGATAAAAACCTTCATAAAAGCGATGGTGCTGGTGAGGGGAAAAGAAGTAGAACTGTGGAGCGGCTGGTGGTAGGAGGGGAGTGGAACAGACGTGCAAGACTGGAAGAGAGTAAGATAAGACAGAAAAGACCATTAGATTTGAAATACAAATATTCTTTGACTGTAGAGAGAGTGGTTGAATTGAAAGAGTTGACTAGGAAGGAAGTGGAGAGAAACTGTAGGTAGAAGAAGGCTTTATGATACATTTAGCAGTAAAAGGAAAAAAAGGAATACTATGCAATTAGAATGGGCAGCAGGTTCAAATAGGGCATTTCTTCAGATTCTGATCGCATATATCGAGTCAAAGGCAAATGTTAGGAGAGTTTTTTTTTTTTCTTTTGTCTTACAGGAATACTTTCCCAGAAAATAATTTGTTAGGATAAATGTTAATCTGAGTCAAAGTTCTATAATTTTTCAAAGGGAGCTTTGTATTCATGAGGAGGAGGATAAAGTTTATTTAAGTCTCCAGTAGATGGAGCATCTTCATTGTTTTTCCAGAAGATTTTCTTGGAATAGGATAAGTGGTAGAGGTGTTGGTAGAATTCAGGTATATTACTATTAGAGCAATTAAGATACACATTGATGTGAGTTGAAATACAAGTAAATTGATTTTCAGATCTCAGTAAGGTGATGCTTCCATATGTTTGCAAATATTCTGCATAAAATCTAGTGTTAGGTTAATGGATCAACTCTTGACCATAACATTTTCTGGAGAGTCACAGTAATACAGTGCCAGCCAGAATAAATAACTCTGCCCTTAATATTTATTTTCTTATGCTTTCCGAAAGAGGAGTAGTTCATAAATGTATTATAAACAAATTTAATAAGAATTAAATTCAGTTAATGTCTAAAACATATAAGGAACTCAGACAACTCAGTAGCAAGAAAAGGAATAAGCCGATTTAAAAGGTGAAGAATCTGAACAAATTTTTCTCAAAAGAAGACATACAAATGGCCAACAGGTATATTAAAAAATGTTCAACATGGCTTATCATCAGGGAAGTGCAAACCCAAACCACAGTGAGGTATCACATCATGCCTGCTAGAATGGCTATTCTCGAAAAGGCAAAAGATAAGTTGATGAAGACATAGAGAAAAGGGAAAGTTGGACCCTGTTGGTGGAAACGTCACTGGTGTAACCATTACAGGAAACAGCATGGAGGCTCCTCAAAAAGTTACAGTAGAACTACCACATGACTCAGCAGCCCTACATCTGAGTATATATCCAAGAGATATGAAATTAGTATGTCAGAGAGATATCTGCATTCCCTTGAACATCTGAAACACACCCATACACACAATGGAGTATTATTCAGCTTTAAAAAATAAGGAAATCCTGGGGCTGGCGCTGTGGCATAGCCGGTAAAGCCGATGCTTGCAGTACTGGCATCCCATACAGGTGCTGGTTCAAGACCTGGTTGCTCCACTTTTGATCCAGCTCTCTGCCATGGCCTGGGAAAGCAGTAGAAGATGGCCCACGTCCTTGGACCCCTGCATCCGCGTGGGAGACCTGGAGGAAGCTCTTGGTTCCTGGCTTCAGAATGGCGAAGCTCTGGCCGTTGAAGCCATCTGGGGAGTGAATCAGTGGATGGAAGACCTCTCTCTCTCTCTCTCTGCCTCTCTGTGACTGTGCCTTTCAAATAAATAAATAAATAAATCTTTAAAAAAAAATAAGGAAATCCTGTAATTGGCAACAACACGGATGAACCTGGAGGACATTATACTATGTGAAATAAATCTCGTATGGAAAGACAACGCTGCATGATATCGCTTATATGTAGAGTTTAAAAAAGCTGAAGTCCTGGAATTAGAGAGAATGGTGGTTGCCAGGGGCACCCCAGAGGGGAGATGCTAGTCACAGGATACAAAGTTTCAATTAGATGGGTAAATTAAATGAGTAAATTCTGGAGATCTAAGGTACAGCATAGTGGCTATAATATACTGTGTACTTGAAATTTGCTAAGAGTGGATATAAAATGTTCTCACCACACACACAAATGGTAACTATATGAGATGATGCATACAATACACAAGTCAATTTAATTGTAGTAATTTTACAATGCATACTTATATCAAAATACCATAAATACAAGAATGTTCCATATATACAATTTTATTTGTTAATTATACCTCAGTAAACCTGGAAAAATAAGTAAAATTAGATTCCACATAAACACAAAAGAATAAATCTGCTACATTCCTACATACCAACTACAGTACAGCATATTACAATGAAAGTGCGTATGCCTATCTGGTCTCGGGTACTCAAGAAAAACGTCTGAAAGCTCATTTTTCATTTTAATAATCTATGATGTCGCCAGCGCGGTGGCTCACTAGGCTAATCCTCTGCCTGTGGCGCCGGCACCCCAAGTTCTAGTCCCGGTCGGGGCGCCAGATTCTGTCCCGGTTGCCCCTCTTCCATGCCAGCTCTCTGCTGTGGCCAGGGAGTGCAGTGGAGGATGGCCCAAGTGCTTGGGCCCTGCACCCCATGGGAGACCAGGAGAAGCACCTGGCTCCTGCCATCGGATCAGCGTGGTGCGCCAGCCATGGCAGCCATTGGAGGGTGAACCAACGGTAAAGGAAGACCTTTCTCTCTGTCTCTCTCACTAACTCTGCCTGTCAAAAAAAAAAAAAAATTAAAAAAAAATCTATGATGTCACCGGCGCCATGGCGTAGCGGGTACAGCCGCCGCCTGAAGTGCTGGCATCCCACATGGACGCTGGTTCTAGTTCCAACTGCCCCTCTTCCAGGCCAGCTCTCTGCTGTGGCCAGGGAGTGCAGTGGAGGATGGCCCAAGTGCTTGGGCCCTGCACCCACATGGGAGACCAGGAGAAGCACCTGGCTCCTGCCATTGGATCAGCGCAGCTCCAGCAGTTGCGGCCATCTGGGGAGTGAACCAGCAGATGGAAGACCTCTCTCTCTCTCTCTGCCTCTCCTTCTCTCTCTGTGTAACTCTGACTTTCCAGTAAATAAATAAATCTTTACAAAAGAAAAATCTGAATGCAGAATTAAATTTTGATTACCGATTCGAGTGTTTACCGTCATGTTATACAGTTAGTTCCAATTTTACTGCTGTTCTCCAAATCACTTTTAGGAAACCGTGACTCAATGACTCGTCTTCAGCACACACCTGCCTCCAAGCCAATGGGCGCCCCCTGCGAGCCCCTGCCCAGATCAGCTCCTCCCGCGCTCCAGCGCGCTCCGAGGCCAAGGGCGGGGCTCGCGGACGCGCGCTCGCGCTCCGGCGCGCGACCGGCCCCGCCCACCACGTGCTGGGCGCGTGCTCCCGGGGCCGGCGCCAGGGGGCGGGGCGAGGCTCGGCCGGGCGGGCGTCGGCGTCTGGCGTCGAGGCCGGGGCGCTGGGGGCCTGGCGTGGAACTGGGCTTCCCTGCGACAGAGGCCGGGTTGGGTCAGCAGGGTCTGCGTAGGTGGATGGGCGGGCGATCTGGGTGTGGCTGTGGCTTCCTGAGCGGGCGGTTCTGAGGGAGAGAGCGAGAGAGACGGAGCCGGAGTGTGAGAGGGAGAGCGGGCGCGCGTGCGTGCGGGAGGGAGGGACGGAGGTGCGGGCGCCCCTGCGCGGAGATCCGCCCGGGGTCGCGTTCGCTGATCCGCCGGCGCGTCGCCTCATCCCGCCTCCCGGCCGCGAGCGGGGGCTGAGGCGGCGCGGGGCGGCCGTGGCGCGCGGGGCGTGAGGGAGGCCGTGGGGCGGCGCGGCCGGGGTCGCCTCAGGGCTGCGCGGGCACCCGGAGACGCGAACCCGCCGCCAGGCGTGTTGAGGAAGGCGAGCCGGCGGTCCGGTGCCGGTGAATCGGTAGACGGAGGAAGCTGGCCGGGCTAGCCTGGCTGCGGGATGGGGAAGGGCTGGCGCTGGCCAGCGCGGGAGGGAGCCCAGGGGCTTGTCTAAGAAGCAGAGCCTCCTGAGAAACCCGGGTGTCTGCGGACCCCAAAGGTTTCGAAGACTCCGAACAAAAGCTTTTGGAAGGCGCCGCCTCCGGTTGAGCGCCGAGCGGGGCTGGGGGCTGTGGGCTGAGGCCCGGATGCCCCGCGCGTCGCTGCTGACCCGCGCGTGGTCCGTGGCCAATGCTCTGCTAAGCAGGTGGACGGCGCGGGGCGAGGGGGGGGGCGAAACTGTCGCGCGTGGGACTTAGGGAACTGTCTCCTTACGCATGTTTCCCCTCCACTCGGTATCCAGGATGAATGACAACCTGTTTGTCAGTTTGGACAGACTTTTGCTAGAATTTGGTAGGTATAAAGTGAAAACAGAACAAAGCGTTTGTATTGCCATTGGACGTTTTAACAAGTCACAGAATAATTATTTTTCTTAGTTTTCCAGTATGAGCAAGACATAAGTACCAAAGAAGATGTGATTCAAAGAATTAATAGTAAGTAGTCCTGCATAATAAAGATATCTTAGTCTTAATTTTTTTGTGGCATATAAGATAATATACAATTAGCAGTAGACGTTACAACTTTTGTGGCCGTTCACGGTAATGACTACCCCTAGGAAAAATAGTTGTGACTTGAGTTTATCAGTAATAAATTTCTGCATTCGGCATTTAATTATTTTGTGAAGGATTTTAAGTGCAAGACAACCTCTTGAAATATATGCTATTTTTTGTCAAATAATAGATTATTTCAAATATTTGAAAATTTTCTTGTCTTGTAGAGATCCCCAGAAATCAGAGGCTCAGGTTAATAGATGCCACATTTTCTGGGATAACAGTTGTGAAAAGTATTAGTGAAATAGCGAAATTAAATAAATAAAATATTTCAAGACCCTATATGTATACTGTCAAAAATAGAACTATTGATCTCTTAATAGTTTTAAAAGGTAGAGTGGTTATCTTCTCTGTAATCAGGAGTGCAGAATATTACAATCTCTTCAAGAAATATTTTATGTAACTACTAGTAACAAGTGAGTTGAAGGTGCATTTAATAATAAATTGATGTGGAATTGATGAATAGAAATTTCGTATTTGTTAGAAATAATAGTCTAATGCTAGTATTATAAGTAAGTGTTTACATGAATTCAGATTATAAACTATAATTGACCTTATATGTCCCTTGGTCTAGCTCTCTAATGTTAAAAATGAGGGACCAGTCACATTTATTTCTTATAAATCCCAAACACAAACCCTTCTTACCTTCCGATACTAGGATCAAGCCTAGTCCTGGTTCTCTGTTTTTTAAGCCTTTCCCATGTCAAGCCTCAATTATCCATTCTCTAGTTCTCCTTTTAGGTGACTTGCCATACTTCTTTCTTAGTGTGTTTATTTGGAATTTATGATTTCTACTCTAAAAAGTAAACATTTCCTCTTTCCAGAATGTGTTGAAGATATTAAAGAAAACAGAGCAATTATTTGTAACATACATGAAACCATAAGTACAACTGATGAAGAAATTGACTATTACTGTAAACATAGTAAGGAGATCAAAAACAACTGTAGTGAGTGAGTATTTGAAAGAAATGAACTTTCAATAATTAGATTCGTTTATCCAAGATTTCTGTATTTATAGGTGAAGATGCTGTTGCTTTAAAATAGTATTCTATATTAGCAAAATAATGAATTAAGTCTTAAATTGCCTTGTTGTGTGCCACTGTAGAAAGAGTTCACAGGAGGTTCAAAAAAATGAAATAAGGGCCATAGGATCTCACTAATTCAGGTCCAGTTGGTGTAAATAAGCTCAGTATATAAAATTCCTGTGACATAAAGTTTGAAATAATTTTCAGGATTTTTGTTTGTTTAAGAGAAGCCTCAAATTTTTAGAATGTTTCAATCCTCTGCCCATTTTCAAATTGGATTATTTTCTTCTTAGTGAGTTGTTTGGGTTCTATTTCAACCTTTTTTATATGATAAGAGAACATTCAAAGTAACCAGTGTTCAACATGAAGGGATTGGTTAAGTGAATTTTGGTTTAGCTATATGAATGAACACTAGGTAGCCAATAAAATTATGATATAGATATATATTAACATGGAAAGATACAAATAGTATATTAAAATTGAACAAACCAGATTATAGATCAATATTCTTAGGATGCACCTAATTAGTATTTTTTTTAAGATTTATTTATGTATTTGAAAGTCAGACTTGGGGGTGGGGTAAGGAAGAGGGAGGGACAGAGAGAGATCTGTCTGTGGTTCACTTCCCAGATGGCTGCAATGGCCAGGGGTGGGCTAGACCAAAGCCAGGAACCAGGAGCATTTCCCAGGCCATTATCAGGAAACTGGATTGGAAGTGGAGCAGCCAGGACATGAACCAGAGCCTATATGAGATGCTCGGTTGCAGGTGGAGGCTGTACCGGCTGTGCCACGATGCTGGCCCCTAATTATAATTGCATGTTTATATATAAATTAGGAAAAGTCTAGAAAGATATACATCAAAACACTTATACAGAATATCTTCTTAGTGAACATACTTCTTAGTGAACATATTATTGCATTTTTGTGTATAACCTTGAATCTTTTATTTTCATTTGGAGAATATTTTCTATGGAAATGATCAGAAATTCTGGCAAATATTTGAGCATAAGTTCTGTTCAGTAGTTAGTAAGGGAAGAATTTTGTATAAAAAGAAAGATGATAGTTATTTTCTTATATATAATTTTCTGTGCTTCCAAAGTAGAAATATATACTTTTTGAATCTGAACAAATTTTTTTTTAATTAGGAAAAAGAATTATTTGATCAGTTCTTGGAGTGGAAGCTGACATGGCACACATTAATTATAGATTTTTCTTATTGGTAATTTTTTTCAAGTTACATAGTAAAAATTTATAAATGAATATTCAGTTTAATATAACCGATTTTGAAATTCATTTTAGTTTTGTTTCTTTTTTACCTCAAGGTTTATTACCATATCCTTTAAAAGTTTCAAAGAAAAAAAAGTATCTCTTTAGCTCTTATCCCAGCTCTTGAAAAGATCTTGGAAACATGATAAAAGAAAGGCTGAGCTTAGATGATGAGTAAAAGAGCTGTAGTAGAAATGTCAAAATGATACAAACTATGGCCATGCCACTTTTGCTCCTTTCCTGGTTATGGCTCAAAAACAGGGTTTTTGTAAAAATTAAGGAGTATTAATATTTTAGCATAGGAATAATGAATGGTGATAGTGGTAGTGATAGAAGATGGGTATAGTTTTTTTTTTTTAAGATTTATTTATTTATTTGAAAGTCAGAGTTTATTTATTTGAAAGTCAGGGGTGGGGGTGGGGAGAAAGGAAGATATCCATCTTCCATCTCTGGTTCATTTCCCAAGTGCCTGAAACCGCCAGAGTGGAGCCAACTGAAGCCAGAAGCTTCTGGTTCCTCCATGTGGGTGCAGGGCCCAAACACTTGGGCCATCTTCTGCTGCTTTCCCAGGCACATTAGCAGGGAGCTGGATTGGAAGTGGAGAAGCCAGGACACTAACCGGCACCCATATGGGAAGTCGGGTTTGCTAGTGGTGGTTTTATCTGCTGCAGGAATAGTTTTTTTGATGTAAGCTTGTCTTCTCTTTAAATGATTACATTCATTTTTTATTATGTCGATTTGTTTATCATTCTTAGATGCTGATTATGAATACCATGGTTTTTTTTTTTCACAGCTGGAAGCCTACATGTGATGTTTTCCATAAGCATGAAGATTACATGCAGGACCAGTTTACTGTCTATCAAGAAACTGTTGAGAAAGACAAGTACAGTACAAATCTTAATTTAAGCTTATCCATTCTAAACGTTAGTATTAGTAGTATGTCTTGTAAGAATGTTAATTAAAAGTGTAGAAGGTTTGTACACTGTGGGAGGTTTTTTTCTTTTTTAAACTGCATATATTTGGGCTCTTACCTTTTGAGGTTTACCTATTTGTTGTAAAGCTCTCTATATACATTCTTCTTACGACAAATCTCAATGTAAGCCATTACTATAAAACATCAATCTTAAAAATAATTCTGTGAGAGGCTAAACCAAACCAATCAAACGTGTACCTCTCTGATAGTGTTTGTTGTTAATGACTTATCTGAGCTACAGTCAAAATAGCTAACTTTAGTTAGTTTAGTTCCTTTCTAAACAAGCCACATGGGTTAATTTAATTGATGACTCAATACCAAGAATTTACAGAAGAAAATGCATACATTTGTAGGTATCATGAATATCAGCTGCTTGTTTCTTCTAATCTCTGGTGTTGCTGGCAACGTACAAGATAATAATAGCTGTTCTTGAACCATGACTTAACTATACCTGGCTCTGCCAAAATTCCTCTATAGATTATGTTAGAAGAATGGATATAAATATGCAATATAAACAGAATGGATAAAGCATGCTGATCTTATTTGAAACTGATGACCCAAGTTTTGTTTCCTTTTGGTGTTTTTCTGCTTCCTGCTCTACTTCTCCAAGTATTTGAACTTCTCCAAGCAATTGAACATTTGAAGAATAGAAGCTTGTTTTTGGATCAACTGCTTTATGTTGTTAAATTGGGCAGAGTTTAGTAGTATTAAGGAATTAAAACATTCTTAAGATTCACATACTAGCCATTAAAAGGCTATGATCCTTATTTTCCCTCTCATTCTATGAGCTGTTTGTTTATACTTGTTCTTTTTTCATCTGAAAAGTTGAGATAATTATTACAGTATCTTTTAAGAAATTCTTCCATGTAGTATAGCTTGATGCAAGAAATAAGAAATATGAAAAATACAAAGTTTACATATTTTCAAAAAATTATTAAGAATATTATTTTTTGAAACTAAGTATTTGATAAAAATTGGGTAAAAAGAAGATCTAAGAATTTATTTTCTGTACAGAGCTGGATTGAAAAACTTCAGTGTTTTTTATCAGAGTTGACAAACTATTTTTTGTAAAGAACTAGATAGTAAATATTTTAGGCTTTGTGAGCCATACAGTCTCTATTTTAACTACTACACTTTGCTGTTGTGACACAAAGAAATTTCAGACAACATGTAAATAGATGAGCTATCTAATATTGACACCGAAATTTGAATTTTATATAATGTAAATGTTTCATGAACTATGTTTCTTCTGATTTTTTCTAATTACCTAAAAATGTAAAATCCATTTGTTCACAGATCATACAAAAACAGGTGGCAGATCAAATTGGGCTCATATACCAAAATAATTGTCTCTTGTAGATCAAGCACAAGTTGAATAGGAAAGAAGAGTTAATATCCTTTTGCAAGAATTAACTCTCCCACTCAAGACTTGTGCCTTAATTGATGAACAACCATTAATATTTGGGTTGGAGGAGTTCCTCCAGACTGTTTTCTTTGTATGATAGTTGTGGGGTGTATATGAGTGGTATAGAACCCAAAGTTGCAACACATAGAATGCGACTTCATGTGATAGGTTTAGCTAAAGAAAATGGAAGGGTATAAAAAAAAACTCAGTGCTATAGAAGTAGCTGACCTGAGAAGAGCCGAGACTTAGAACCCAAGGAGAGTAGAGATTCAAGAAGGAGTAAGTGATTCAAACAACCAGATCCTGCAGTGTTAATTAGAATGAGCAGCAACAAGAGATCATTCAGTTGGATAAACTAGATTATTGGTGACCTTGGAGAGAATAGTGCTATTAAGATGGTTGTAATGGAAGTTAAAGAGGAGTAAGGAGTGAGTAGCTCAGTTAGCAAAGAAGAGTAGATTTGAGAAGTATGGTAAGATTTAGGAAAGTTTGAAACAGACAATATTGAGAGAAGTAGGGATAATGAGATTTTGACTTGCCTTGTATGCTTAATTTAGGAGACTTTAACGAGTGATTTTATGAAGCTTTTAGATCTACTCGATATATGTACATCATTTCTTTTCATTTTAATAGAAAAATGTATCATGGTTATATATGTCAGTATAAAGATGTTTTGAAGCAATACCAACTAAAATATTCAGAAGCACCCTATTCACATGAATATTATGAGAAGAAAAGAGAACATGAAGAAATTAAAAGCAGAGTGTTGGCATGTTCTGAACAACTAAAACTCAATGAAAATATCCTCATGGAATTTCTAGGTATTAACATTTTTGTGATGTATTATTTTAATTATGGTATTTTCATAATAAAAATATAATAAATCAGTCTAAACTATGATTTTGTTTTTCAGTGCCTGCTCCCTTTCCATCACTTAATAAATGGACATTACACATGTATCCACAATAGCATTTCTACTTATATCTTTTACTAGTTAAATATTATTTCTGTATTTTAATTGTTACTACGCTTCTCTTGTAAGAAACACATGAATTTGTTTTTGTGAGTAATTCATATTTTAGAAGTCACTCTAAAGGTTATTTGGTACTAGTTGCATATACATCCAAGTGATCAGAAGCAAGTAGTTTTAGAATAAAATGATACATATGGCCAGCATTGTGGCATAGCAGGTTATACCTCTGCCTGCAGTGCCAACATCCCATATGGCCACAAGTTGGAGTCCCAGCTGCTCCACTTCTAATCCTGCTGTGTGCTAATGGGCTTGGGAAAGCAGCAAAAGATGGCCTAAGTGCTTGGGGCCCTGCCACCCACATGTGAGACCAAGATGGAGTTCTGGTTCCTCTCTTTGGCCTAACCCAGACCTGGTCATTGCTGCTATTTAAGGAGTAAACCAGCAGATAAGAGATCTGTGTTTGTGTGTGTGTATGTTTCCTTCTGTCTCTGTAACTCTGCCTTTCAAATTAATAAAATCTTTTTAAAAATGATATATTTATCTGCCTTTAAAGTACATACTTTTAGCAACCAGATCAATGAAAATGTCATTTTGCTCTGTTTTATCAAAGAAAGTTCTAGTTAAAACAAGTGATTATTTCTTGTTAGAATGGAAATTGATAAAGTGAGTTATAATTATTCATCTATAAAAATTCATTCAGTACCTAACCCTGTGTCAGGCAGTACTGAAGAAGATATCTGTATCTTTCTTAAAAGAAGCTCATGGTTTGGTAGAAGAGACAGTTATGTAAAGAAGTAATTCTAATGCAGTACCACTGTAATAGATGCTTAAGTCATTGCTAATTCATCTAAGTCTCACCTGTTTGTCAGAGAGATCTTCCCTGCTGATGAACTTGAAACTTTAATCCTCTTTCAACCTCCACAATCCTTCATATGCTTTCCTATCAGATTACAACTCCAATGTTTGTACTAAGTCTTCTTTATCCCTACAGTCTAACCTTGCTTTCTCTCTGCTTCATCCTAAACCATCCTTTTAACTCCTCTGTTGCTTGCTCCCTCTGTGTTTTGGTTTTAGCCTATTCTAGTTTTTATTGTTGTTTGCTGCCCATCTATACATGAACTTCTCAGTGGGAAAGGGGAAAGAGTGGTAGATCCTGAAGATATTGCAAGAGTAAAGGGAGTTGGATGTGGAATGGAATGAGATTTAACATTGCATGAAAACATGATGAAACAGGAGTGGATGTTTGGTGCAGTAGTTAAGACATCACTTGGGACATCTGCATCCCATTGTCAAGTGTTTGGATTCCAGTGAGAGATGGCAGATGACTCGAGTAATTGGATTCCTGCCACCTACACTGGAGACCCAGATGGAGTTTCAGGTTTCTGGCTTCAGCTTGGCCCTACCCTGGTGGATGTGGGCATTTGGAGAGTTAACCAGTAGATAGAAGATTTTTCTCTGCCTCTGTCTATCTGCCTTTCAGATAAAATAAAAATAAATAAAGAAAAAATGGAGGTATGATGAATTTAAAGATTAGGAGTTAAATATATGTGCAAAATATTAAATTGATACTTTTGATAGCTATAGCTTTATAAATCATACAAGTATTCACCTGTACTTTTGTATTCTAATATATAAATTGTCTAATTTTGAGGCAGAATAGGAAAGATCTGATAAATGTTTTAAGTATTTTTGAAAGAGAGAGAGTGAGCACTCCTATCCCATGGTACATTTCCCAAATGCCCACACATATGAGACTGGGCCATGCAGCAGCCAGAAACCAAAATTCAATCCAAGTGACCCAGGATGGGTGTCAGGGACCCAGGTCTTTGCACCACCATGTAGTGCCTCCCAGAGTGCACATTAGTGATGGAAGTTGGAATTGAGGTCAAGGCTGGGACTCCAACTCAAGCACTCCAATATAGATGCAGGCATCCCAAGTGGCATCTTGGCCAATTGCTTGTCTTGTCTTTGGAGTTCTTGTTCACTGTCACTATTCTATTCATTTTTAATTCTCTTTAATAGGTGTTAGAGTAACTTATGAAATTGTTTCAGCTAATAATCATGATGTTTATTAATAGCTGAAATACTATTTGAAACTGATACAAGTCCAATTCAAGGAGAAAGTAGAGATGGAAGATCTACCTGCACAGTTCTGCACTGATAAACATTATCGAGCCAAAAAAACAAAACAAAACAAAACAAAACAAAAGAAATTGGGTTGATTTTTTTCCAAGATTTATTTTATTCATTTGAAGGTCAGAATTACATAGAGGAGAGGCAGAGAGAGAGCGAGGTCTTCCATCCGATGGCTTACTCCCCAGTTGGCCGACACAGATGGAGCTGCGCCAATCCAAACCTAGGAGCCAGGAGCTTCTTCCTGGGCTCCCACGTGGGTGCAGGAGCCCACGGACTTGGGCCATCCTCCACTGCTTTCCCAGGCCACATCAGAGAGCTGGATTGGAAGAACTGGTGCCCATATGGGATGCTGGCGCTTCAGGCCTGGATGTTAACCCACTGGGCCCAGGATAGATTTTTAATATTGGCTTTGAAACAAATAGATAATGGGCAAATGAAGTTAAATTTGGACCTGAATTATGTGTTACTAGTTTTGCCAAATGACACAGTGAGCTTGGGTAAGAAAAACTGGGAGAAAAAACTACCCTGTGAAAATATTAAAGAAAAAATGCTAACAAAATAATTTGGATTAAATATGTTTTAAGCTCAGAATATAACATAAACAATAAATTATCTTTGTTAGTCTGCTGAATTATTAGTCTTACCTCTGTTTTCAGATATTTTTATTACTTCTATGGAATATACATATAAATAATGTTATATAATATTAACTTTGATATAGTACATATATCATAAATATAAAATTTATTTATATGACGTAGTTCCTTAACATAAAAAGAGTTAATTTGAGATGTAAAACACAAGAAATTCTTAAACATGCCAACAGCTTTACCAGAAGTTCATCTGAATTGAAGAAAGAAGCAGAAGAAATGGAAATAGAAATCAATTATTTAAATAAGGTATATATTTTGTCATGTTTCTTAATAGGTATAATGGTATGTTGGTTGATAGTTTTACTAAAGATATGCTTGAGAGTCTGAGTATGAGGAAGGGTTTACGATAATTTATTTGCCTCTGATTTTCCTTGAAGCCAATATGATTTCATATACTGAATATATTCAACTATGAATTTTGGGAAATAGTTTAGCCTTCTTTGAAGTTTGAGGAAAGAAGAAGAGGAGAGAACAAGATGTAACTTAGTAACAGAATTTAATTGCATTAAAATAGCTACAAAGGTATTTTCCGAAGAAAAAAAAGGAACAAAACAGTAAGAATTTAATCTTGAAAATTTTATGAGTGTAGTTTATAATCTTTAGAAATTTAAGCTAGAACTTATAATCTTTGGAGATCTAGGCTAGAACTAGATCCAGCCTTTATGATTTTCTTGAAAATATCTTTAGTGTCATCCACTGAGTTGTAACTTTCAGTCACATAGGTGAGAACCCATCAAAGTCACTTTCTAATTAGATGAGAACCCATCAAAGTCACTTTCTAATTTTGAGAAAAAATTGAATATAACACCTACTTTTTAATTTTTTTTGAAATTCTGTTGAAGGGGATATATTTATCATCTTTACTTATGAAGTACAAAGTGACAGTAATGTAATTTTAGTAATGAGAAAGGACTTTTTTTTTTAAAGAAGGTATTTCAAAGGAAAATGGTATTAAAAGATTTAATTTGGTGCCCCAAATTTTGAAAGACCCTTCATAAGCATGAATTTCAAGCATTATCAGCAACAAAATTGTATTTTTTAAAAAAGATTTATTTATTTGAAAGGCAGAGAGAGAGAATGAGAGAGAGGTGTTTTCAATCTGCTGGTTCACTCCCCAAATGGTCACAATGACGAGCTGAGCCAATCAGGAACCAGGAGCTTCTTTCAGGTCTCCCACGTTGGTGCAGGGACCCAAGGACTAGGGCCATTTTCCACTGCTTTCCCAGGTCATAGCAGAGAGCTGGATTGGAAGAGGAATAGCTGGGACTTGAACCAGCACCCACATGTGAAGCCAGCACTGCAGGTGGCGGCTTCACCCTCTGTGCCACAGCACTAGCCCCAATAAATGTGTCTTTTAATTCCATTTTTTATGAACTGTTTAAAATGGCCATGTATGTGGTAACTATATACTATTTACTATTCAAGGAAGCAATCTCTATTTTGCTTTTGACTTCTTTTTAAAACAACAAACATTTGCTAGTGGAGTTACAAAAAAAGCTAAAGGGATGTGATTTATTGTTAATTTTGACCCTGTTTTAGCAATTTTTGATAAAAGAATATATATAGGGAAAATCATACTCATTAGTTAACACATACACTCACTACTGCTTTGCAAGTAGTTGTTTTGCTTACCCATTTTTCTGTTTGCTAGATTGCGAGACTCTATGAAACTAAGAATCTTTCAGAAAGTCTAGAAGAAAAGAACAAAAGTACTGAAAAGAGAAAGGAGTTGAAAGAAAGGTATGGTTAAACTTTAACATTGGATTTTATGTGGACAAGTTTTCTGTGTTCAAAAGTTTGAGTGTGTTCTAATCTAAGCCACTAATATTTTCACAGTTTCCACATATTTTTTGTGCAGGCTACTTATGTTAATTTCTTTTATTTTTAAAAAGATTTATGTATTTACTTGAAAGAGTTACACACATACACACACACAAACACACAGAGGGAGGGAGAGAGGATGAGAGGTCTTCCATCTGCTGGTTCACTCCCCAGATGGCCACAATGGCTGGAGCTGTGCCCATTCAAAGCCAGGAGCCAGGAGCCTCTCCCAGGTCTCCCATGTGGTTGCAGGGGCCCAAGACTTGGGCCATCTTCTACTGTTTTCACAGGCAATAGCAGAGAGCTGGATCGGAAGTGGAGCAGCTGGGACGCAAATGGGCGCCTTGTGGGATGCTGGTACTGCAGGTGATGGCTTTACCCACCATGCCACAGCACCAGTCCCAATTTCTTATAAAAATAACAAACTTTATGAACTAATACTCAATTCTAATTGTTAGTAAAGCAAGAATAATTTGTAGAGAGAAAGATGACAGCAGCACTTCTGCTATTCTCTGTATAATCTGTTGTTTTGTCGTGATAAGTTAGCAATAGAAGTAAAACCGGGGAAACAAATGGGAACAGCGATGCATTTTCCTTTCTATCACCCTGGTCACAAGTTTGACCAATTCTTCCTTTGCTACAAAGGGTGACGATGAGCCACGTATGCTACTAAATTTGTGGCTTGCATAGTTTTTTGGTATTAGTGGTAATGACATTAGTGGTATAGGCATTACAGATGAAGATTGCTTTTTGTCTGTAATTATGTGACAAAAAGTACTATTTTTGTTTCTGATTGATTTTTACTTTTTCTTTCTTTTTCATCCTCTTAAATTCCTTTCCTTAGTCTTCATTCACCCTTATCCTGATTTTTCAACATGCTCCTCTCCCAATTTGCCATATCCCATTTCCTTAGATCTGTTTATTTGATGTCCCCACTCCCATGCAGCATATCTTTAATTCCATAATGAAATTGACTGAAAAAAGGTACTGTAAATGTACAGAATTTTGCTTTATGTGTGGCATTTTAATTTAAAATTTTGTTTACTTAAAGGAACTTACATAATTATTTAATAATTTTAAAAAGAGACTTATTTGAAAGGCAGAGCAATAGACTGGGAGGGGAAAAGAGAAAAAGTGAGAGAGATCTTCTGTCTGCTGGTGCACTCCCTAACAGCACAGTAGCCATGTCTGGGCTAGTCCGAAGCTAGGAACCAGGAACTCCATCTTGGTCTCTCACATGGGTTTCTTGGTTTTACTCAGTGTATAGACTAGTACCGCTTATCCATGATTTTGCTTTCCATAAATTTTGTTTACCAGTGGTCAACTACAGTCCAAAAATATTAAGTGGAAAATTCCAGAAATGAACAATTTTTAAATTTTAATCTTCATAGCTTGGTCAGCTAATCTTCATAGCTTGGTAAACTCTTTCATTGTCCCATTTCTTCCTGCCCAGGATGTGATTCACCCCTTTGTCCAGTGTATCCAGGTTGCATTTGGTACCTGTATACTGCCCCTTCATTCCCATATCCTTTCCCCGTGTTAGTCATATCACAGCCTTCTTGATTATCAGATCAACTGTCACTGTAACACAGTGTTTGTGTTCAGTTAACCCTTATTTTACTTTCTAATGATCCTAAAGTGCAACTTGGCCCCAAGGTGGATATGCCAAAGAAAAGCTGTAAAGTGCTCCCTTTAAATGAAGAAGGTAAAAGCTATTGACTTAAATAAGGAAAGAAATAAAAAAACTATGCTGAGATTGTTAATTTCTATGGCAAGAACAAATCTGTGTGAAATCGTGAAGAAAGAAAAAGAAATTCATGCTGATATTGCTGTTGTATCTCAAACTGCAAAAGTTACAGCCATAACACATAAAAACTTAGTTAATGTGGAAAAGGGATTAAATTTGTGTATGTGTACAGGAAAAAACATGGGAGAGAGATATATCTCATATTTATATATTTAATATATATATACATATATATATGAAACTATCCAAGGTTTTAGGCATTTACTGAATCTTGGAACATATCCACCATGATAAGGGAGTGAAGAGTTACTCTATTTTGCTAATATTTATTCTATTTCTTTGAATTAGAAAAAATTCAGTGAAGTTGCTCTTCAACTAAGAAACTTAAAAGACACATTTATGATTATAATATTTTTATTGGTTTCTGTATTCACCCTAGTTGATTTGTTTCTGTATAAATCTTTTTCAACCTCCAAGTACGCTGAAATAGAAAATGTGTTTAAAGTTTTGGCTTAAATGGTCTTAATGTGTTTGAAAAATCTTCTTAAATGATTTTTTTAAATGTTCATTCTATTTGGAAGGGAGAAAGAGAGAGAGAGAGGGGCACATAAAAGTTCTTTCCTTTCCTTTGGTTCAACTGGTTCCCACAGTTGACAGGGCTGGGCAGAGCCCAATCCAGGGCTAGGTCTCTCATGGAGTCTAATTTCTTGAGCCATCACTTACTATCTCCCAGGGTACACATTAGTAGGAAGCTGGAATTGAGAACATACCTGGAACTCAAACTCAGACTTTGATGGGATGCAGGTATTCCAGGTGGGGTCTTAACCACTATGCCAAATGCCTGCCCCCGGTTATGTTTTAAAAATAAGAATGTGGTATACCAGGTCAGGCATTTGGTGTAGAAGTTAAGGAACCACTTAGGGTTGGGGTGCATGAATTCAAGTCTTGATTTTCCCAACTCCAACTTTCTGCTAATGTACGCTGTGGGAGGTTGCAGGTGATCACTCAAGTACTTGGATACTTTTTACCCCATAGGGAAGACCAGAAGCTAGTTCTGAGCTTCTTCCTTTTGCTTGGTCCAGCTCTGGCTGTGTTGGGAATTTGGGGACTGAACCAGCAAATGTAAAGTCTTATTTCTGTCTCTCTGCCTTCAAAATAAATACATAATTTAAAAATAAATAAGTGTGTGTGTTTAAAAGTTATAGTATACTGAGAAGAACACTGTACTTAATAAGGAAAAATTTGCTTTGGCTCTGACCATACTAACAAGTAATTTAATGATATTGGGCAAATCTTTAAATTCTATGGATCTCAGTTTCAATATGTCTGCAGAAGGAGAGATTTTTAACTACACAGTATTTATTTTATAGTTTTGAAATACTTAACTAATATTTAATTTAATCAATTCTTCTCTTTAGAATTTTTGAAAAAGATGAGCATGTGCTTGTATTGAATAAAACCCCTCAAAGTACTAAATTATTTCTTCCTTATGAATCTCAGAACTTAGTAAGACCAATAAAGATACATTCTTCAGAACCAAGAGTTACAGGTACAGTATGCTTATTATTCAAAAATTTCATTTTCTTTGCAAACACACAGAAGAAGAAATAGAAAGAAGCAATTTTAGTTATCATTTGGTGTATAAGAACTTATATAGTCAGAAGTAGCTGTTTTAAATCTTTCTGAGAGCAAACAAGAAATGTCCTTTTTTTCTCTTTGAGAAAGAAATCACTCACATGATATATTTAAAAAAAATTCTCTGATCAGGTTGCACAGCTATCAGAGGAGAATGAATAGCTTTATCTTTTTCATTTGAGGAATTGTATGTGAACAGTATGTGAGATTTGAGTGAGTAGCAGACTTGATTGAGGTTTTATAAAATGGATCTACCGATTAGATTAACTACATTGGCTGTTTTCCCGCTAGCATTAATATCACCACTCTACCTTTAGTTACCCATTATAAAATGTAGTTTTGTCAGTTGGACATTTTGCCATTACACATTCTGATTGTAGTAACTGTTGCATTGTGAGAAATTAAGCGTTTGTCTACAATTTATTTTAATTTAAATTAAGTATACATGCAGATTTGATTTTTAAATTACAAGGTTAGGTTAAATGTTGGGGATAGTATTTGATTCTGTCTCCAGAATTGATTTGAGGTAATACTACTTAATAATCTAGATAAAAAAGAAGAAAGTTCTGTGAAGTGGTCAAAGCTCGCCAATATTGACTTCAGACAAAAAGAAAATGATACACAGGTAGGTATTTACTTTTTAATAGTACAAATTAAATATTTGCTTGCATTAAATAAAATAATGAATGTACTATACTTATTATATGGAGGGGTGTGTGTTTATGTGTGGTAAACATATTAAATCAGCCACTAAACTCAGGGTTAAAAAAATTAAAAAATTTCAATATGATATTCTGAACATAATTTTCCCCCTTACCCCTAAAAATAATACAAAATATATTAAAATACAAAGCTCTGTACTTAGTAGACCAAAACTATGAGAAATCTCTGAAAGAGGAAAATAGGATTAGATTGAGAGAGAAGTTGTAGCCTGGGACATGCATGAGACAACATTGTTCCATTAGATAGAAGTCTGGAGATAATGAATAGGGCAATTGGTTGGGTTATCTTAGTAGGGGTTAGTTTAGTTAACCTCTCTTCATCCCATATTCACTCTGCGTTTGATCAGGACCAGCAATATGAGGACTGCCTCCAGATGAAAGCAGTGACTATGAGAGGTGGGTGAGGGGGACAAATGGGTACCCTGGGTGGTTCTTGATGCTAATAAAGAATAAGGAGCACACCACCTACAAAGCTATTGGTGTTACACAGCTTTGTTTCTCCCATCCTCCTGAAAATAGTCTAGAGGAAAATTCTCACTGAAAGATACAACTATTTTCCCATTAATTCATAGATAAAGGGTAACAGTGACCAGTGTATTTAGTGAAACTTCAGCTTAAATGTATGGTAATTATAAAAAAAATTTTAAATCTGTTATTAAAATTCCAGATGCTATCAATGTGGAATGAAAGTGGAAAGATAAATGAGAAAAAAAATTACTAAAATTCTTTTGGGAGGGGGTGATGGAGGTAGGTAGAAAAGAGTAAATTTATACATGTAGGTTAAACATTTAAGGGTAACCATCAGAATAGAAATAGAATGTGTAAGTTTTAAGACAAAAGGGGCTGGCGCTGTGATGTAGCGGGTAAAGCTGCTGCCCACAGTGCCAGCATCCCGAATATGGGTGCCGGTTCAAGACCTGGCTGCTCCACTTCCAATCCAGCTCTCCACTATGGCCTAGGAAAGCAGTAGAAGATGGCCCAAGTGCTTGGGCCCCTGCACCCACGTGGGAGACCCAGAGGAAGCTCCTTGCTCCTGGCTTCGGATTGGCAGAGCTCCAGCCATTGTGGCCAGTTGGGGAGTGAACCAGCAAATAGAAGACATCCCCACCTCTCCCTCCCTCCCTCCCTCCCTCCCTCCCTCCCTCTCTCTCTCTCTCTTTCTCTCTCTCTCTCTTTGCCTCTCTCTGCCTCTTCTTCTCTCTGTGTAACTCCCTTAAATAAACAAAAATATCTTTAAAAAATTTTAAGACAGTAGAAGAAAAAAGGTAAAGCAAGGAAAACTTAAGCCAACAATAGCAGGAGTAGGAGGGGCATAGAAAAAATAGCTAGAAAGCATTCTAAGTACAAAACTCTAAGTACAAAACAAATGCAAGATGCAAGAAATAGTTCTGAGCAAACCAGAACAATGATCATAAAAATGAGACTGGGTTAAATACTCATTGAAAGACAGAGGCACATCTATGGTATATATAAACAAAATATAGCTATGTACTCATACTGTTAAAGCACAACACCTGAAACAACTTGACAAAGGCTAAATATAAAAGAGTAGAAAATATATGTGAAGCAAATGCAAAACAAAACAAAGATGATATATAACAAATATCATATAAATAGAGTTTAAGGTGAAAAACATTAATGGCGTAAATGTAGTTCATATTTCTAGAAGAATAATTCACTAAGAAATCATAAATACCACATTGGGTTAAATTACAAAGTTTCAAATTATACAAGTTTAAAATAAATATTGATGTAATGCCAAAGAAATCCACAGCACAAGAGGCTTGAATGTAGCTCTTTCAAAAGTACTGATTTTGAGTTCAGGGTTTAAGTTTGGCTGCATGTGAGACAATAGAAATCAAACCAATAAGATTATAGCCTATTATTATAGCCAAAGTGAACATTTGTTTTTCATTGACCTGCCATGAAATTCTAATGTAGGTGATTCAGACTCCAGGCTCAGGGCACCATCCTATTATTTCTCAGGCTTTTTTTTGTGCTATCCTGTGCTTTTCTGCTGTCCTTCATGCTCAGCTTTCACTTCCCCATCACCTCATGTAGTCAGAAGTTATCTTTTCCCAGACATAAATGAAAAAAGTAGAAAGGCTACCTAAGTTAGTCCCATTTTTAGGGATCTTTCCTGGAAGCTCCTTAAATGGGTGTTGATGTCATTTTATTGGCAGAACTTAAATGGCTAGCTCTCTCTTCAGGAGAGATTGGAAAATACAGATTGTTGTGTTTAAAGCAGAACACAAGGAAAAAATACACTTTGGGTAGGATAGGCAACTGACAGTTTCTGCCACAGGGAAATCAAATAGATGAAAAATAAGATATAGGGGATCTGAATAACAATCAGTGATTAGCAAACTTTGTACCCAACATACAAAGAGTACAATTAAATTTTTGTTTGCAATATTCACCAAAATTTTCCATTTACTAAAGTATAAAAGATATCTTGACAATTCTAAAGAATTGCTATCTTCACATCCCATAATATAAAAGATGTCAAACAGAAAGATAATCTCTCCCCCAAGGAACTAGTTTGGAGCCAGCACTGTGGCACAGCAGGTTAAAGCTCTAGTCTGCAGCACCAGCATCCCATATGGGTGCCGATTTGAGTCCTGGCTGCTCCTCTTCCAATCCAGCTCTTTGCTATGGCCTGGGAAAGCAGTAGAGGATGGCCCAGGTCCTTGGGCCCTTGCACCCATGTGGGAGACCTGGAGGACACTACTGACTTTGGATCAGCTCAGCTCTGGCTGTTGCGGCCATCTGGGGAGTGAACCAGTGGATGGAAGACCTCTCTCTGTCTCTGCCGCTCTGTAACTCTTAATTTCAAATAAATAAATAAAATTTTTAAAAAGAATGAAAGAAACTAGTTTACTTAAAATAAACAGGGCCAGTGCTGTGGTATAGTAGGTTAAACATCCACTTGTGGCACCAGCATCCCATATGGGTGCCGGTTCAAGTCTTGGCTGCTCCACTTCTGATCTAGCTCCTTGCTGAAACCAGTACAAGATGGCCCAAGTGCTTGGGCCCTTGCACCCACATAGGAGATCTGGAAGAAGCTCCTGGCTCCTGGCTTCAGACTGTCACAGCTCCAGTCATTACAGTCATTTGGGGAGTGAACCAGCAGATAGAAGACCTCTCTCTCTCTCTCTGTCTCTGCCTCTCTCTAACTCTGCCTTTCAAATAACTAAATCTTACAAAAAAAATTACAGTCTAGACTAGTCCAGGTGTAGCCTATATGTTTTAAGCTTGAACAGTCATGCTCGGGATTTTCTGTATTCAGCCAAGGAGAATGTAGTGTGTTGCTGTTGTCTTTAGTTTTAGATCCATGATCTCACAGTGAAGGATGCTTTTTCAAGAGTCTCGTCTGTAAAATGGAGTCCCTATTATCAGGATGTCACTTCAACTACATTAATAGGTTATCCAGTATTTTAAATAAGTTAAAATATCCCCTACCAATAGTTTTAAACCCATTCCACAGTCTTAATTACATATTCCTGAATGAAAAGATTTACAGTTCAGCTTTGCTTACATAACCATTGAAAAATACTTAGCACCAAAGCTTGCTTCCTGTAATGCCAAACAAATCAGGAAACTACTTCAGTATGTGTTTCTTCTTTTTAAACAAGGGGGCAGTTATTTGTAGAAGGCAGTACTTAGCCTCCAGGTATACTTCCCAGAAATGGCATATACCACGCAAAGGTCTAGATGCTCTCATGCTTTCAAAGTGAACTGAACTTCTTAGCCTGATGTGCATAGAAGCATGAATGGTGAAGTTGAAGATCAATATTATAACTGTTTTTTCTATTTATCTGAAGCACAGTAAAAAAAAATCGGTACACTTTGGAAATTCAGTGGCACCGAAAATTAGTTATTAAGAAAAAGACTGGGGCAGCACTGTGATGTAGTAGATTAAGCCTCTGCCTGCAGCACCAGTATCCCAAATGCTCCTCTTCCGATCCAGCTCTCTGCTATTCAGCTCTCTGCTTTGGGCCCCTGCACCACGTGGGAGACCCAGAAGAAGTTCCTGGCTCAGGATTGGCCCAGCTCCTAACATTGTGGCCAATTGGGGGGTGAATCAGTGGATGGAATACCTTTACCTCTGTGTCTCTCTGTCTGTAACTCTACCTCTCAAATGAAATAAATAAAATCTTAAAAAAAATAAGATTTGGAAAAAAAATAAGTTAAAATAGAAAATTTTTAAAAGAATGATTAAGTTGGGGGGAATCTGAACTTCCAGGGGTGAGCTTTGTGGCACAGCAGGATAAGCTGCTGCTTGGGACACCCATGTCCCATATAAGAGTGCCTGGAATCAAAACTCAAAATGCCAACAATATCTATGGTTGGTCTAGGCTAATGCTAGCCACAGTGATCACCACTAGAAGTCTTGTTAAACATCGTAAGAGAATATTATATAAGATTTCATACCAATAAATAAAAAAATTTAAGTGAGATGGACAGTTTTCTAGATAACATAAATTGCTAAATAGGCTGGAAAAAGATAAAATATGAATAAATTAACAGTAAAAACTAAATTTTAAGTAAATGTTTCTCTTTTTTATTCCCCCTTCTATCTTTTAGAATTGTTTGTTTAAAAGATTATTTAATCCAGTGGTTCTCAACTGGGGGTACTTTAACTTCTCAGGGAAAATCTGACAATGTTTAAAAATGTTTTTATTGTCACAGTGTGGGAGTGAGATGCTACTAGACTGTAATGGGTCTAAAGATAAGCCTTAACTAATGATTATCCAGTCAAATCTCAATAGTGTCAAGTTTGGGAAATTCTCATCTAATCCTTAAAAATTAGGTAGAATTCACCTGAAAAAACTGAGTCTGGTATCTTTTGAAGAGTAGGAGGGTGGGTGAGAGAGACGAAAGGAGGAAGTACTTCTAGATAATAAGAGTTCATTAATTTTATTTATCTTAAAGATTAATTATTTGAGAAGGGGGACAGAGCATGAAGAGAGAGAAAGAAAAGCATATACTACACACAGAGCTCCATATAATGGTTCACTCTCCCAATGCCTCCAACAGAGAGAGAGAGAGAGAAACACACACACACACATACATACATACATACCACTACCTTCATACAGTGGTTCACTGTCCAGATGCCTCCAGCAGCTGGGGCTGGGCTAGACTGAAGCTGGGAGCTGGGAGTTCAGTCCTGTCTCCCACAGTGGCAGGGACCCATCCACTTAAGCCATCACCTGCTGTTTCCTGTGGTCTGCATTAGCAGGTAACTGAAATCAGTGGAGCCAGGACTCAAACCCAGGCTAGATGGGATGTAAGTTTCCAAAGTGGCATCTTAACTGCTAGGCCAAACATCTTCTGTCCATTTATTTTTTACTTAAAAAAAAAGTATGTCATTAAGGTATAATTCACATACTGTTAAACCCACCATTTAAAAAGTATAAATTTAGTGATTTATAGTACATTCACAAGATTGTGCAATCATAGGTACTATCTAGTTCTATAACATTTTTTATCCCCCCATTTAAAATGGCATCAAAACATGGTAATTATAACATTGTTGTGCAGAAAAAAGACAAATTGATGAACAACTACTTCTAAATTTAAAAAATTATATATAGCAACAGATACTTGTTAAAAAGATAATAACAGAATGGACAAAGGATTGCTATCTAAAATGTATAATATATTTAAAAATGCCTAGTAACTCTTACAAATTAATGAAAAGACAGTAAAAATGGGCAGAAGATAAGAAGGCAGTTCACATAAGAGACAAGGGACCACTAAAGATAATAAGATGCCTGACGCCAGGAGTACAAGGAAATGCAAATGTGTTTTCACCTCTCAAATTAGCATTCATTAAAATGTTTCATATTATCTAGTAAGGTCAAGAATACTAGTGGTATAATTTTGTACAGTCATTTGGAGGAGTAGGTCACAGTACTTATAAAATCAAAACTGCTTAGGCTCAGCAGTTTTGCTTCTTGGCATCTACTCAAAACAGATACTCAAAATATATGGGTAGTTGAATCTGGAGCCGTGTACAGACATTTACCTTGTCTCAAATATATATCAAATAGTAATATCATTTGTTCTTTAAGGGAGTTTGACATATTTTTATAATCTAAAAGTAAAATAAAATGACAGAATTTACTTATTTTAATAAATGAGAAGCTTCTGTTAAAGATATTTTAATTTGGGGTCAAATAACAAAATTCAGGGATTATTCAAAAGAGCAGCAACACAGGGAGAATGAAAGGCTTGAAATAAACAATAATAAAGCAATGATAGATACTAATATTGAAATATTTTATTTACAGTAATAAATGAAATATTATTTTCCAAATATATTTTTTTAAAAGTTCAGGGCCAGTATCCGATATGAGCAGTTGTTCAAGTCCTGGCTGTTCCACTTCTGATCCAGTTCCCTGCTAATGTGTCTAGGGAAGCAGTGGAAGATGGCTCAAGTGCTTGGGCTCCTGTACCCACATGGGAGACCTGGATGGAGTTCCAGGCTTCAGCCTAGAGCAGACCTGGCTTTTGCAGCCGTTTGGGAAATGAACCAGCAGATAGAAGATCTATCTCTGTATCTCTCTCCCTCTCTCCCTCTGTCTCGGTATCTCTGCCTTTTAAATAAATAAAATCTTTTTTTAAAGGCCAAGCTATAATCTTTTAATCTGTTTTCCTTTCCTCTGTGCAATTTAAGAGGTTATAGAGGATAGAGGGACACAAAAATTAGGTAATCAATTGAGAAAATGGTAAGATTCATTTGATTGGGTATAAATATGAATAGAATAATATTTTAAAAGCTTTAACTTAAAATGTAAAGTACTATCACAAATAGTTATTATACTTTTCGAAAATGTCAGATTCCTTGAGAAAACCTTCTGTTGTATTTGGCTTCATGTTTGTATGTATATGTGCAGTTAACATTTGGAGTTGCTGATATTGATAATAATGGTGGTGGTGAAGAAGCTCATGAAATGACAGAGCCCTGAGTAGTTATGGCAAATGAAAAATTTTTGTTTTGTGTAGCCAGTTCTGATGCTTAATTTCTTTCTTTCAGATATTTAGTGACTCTGGTGTAAATAGCCATTCAAAAAGTTCACAAAATCTAATGCAATTCAGGTAATTTTTAAAAATAAAAAAGTGCCTTAATTTCCAAAAGAATTTCTGAATATCAACTTAGGAAATGATATAAAAATGTATTTATTGCATTCTAGGTTGTTATCTCCACAGAAGCAATCAAATTGTAATCAGTGGTTTGAAAAAGGACATACAGGTATTCTGTTCATATTTTTCCCAAGTAGCAGAGAAAATAACATTATGTTTTTATTCTTTTCAAATACGTTTACTGAAGAAAAATCTGAAAACAAAAATGTAAAGGAAACAAAAATACCACCAGACTTCAGTGACGCCATATATACTTATTCAGATTCTTTTGGTCTTTTTTTTTCTATTAGTATATATGCTTTTTCTTTTATCCTCCCCAAAATTTTTAAAATTTGATTTTATTTGAAAGGCAGGGGTGGGGGAAAGGGAGAGGAATAGATAGAGAGGGTGAGATAGAGAGAGATACATCAATCTCCTATATACTAGCTCACTTCCCACATGCCTGTAATAGTCAGGGCTTGACTAAGCGGAAGCCAGGAGTCAGAAACTCAATCCAGGTCTCCTCTGTGGGTAACAAGAACCCAACTCCTTGAGCTACCACCTGTTGTCTTCCAGGGTTGCATTATCAGGAAACTAAAATTGGGATCCAAACTGGGATTAAAACCCAGGCAGAGTTGTGGGGGTCCTAAGCAATGTGTTAATCACTATGCCAAACACCCATCTCAGGACCTTTTGAAATGAACTCCAGATTCATGCTTTGATGAAATTACTATGCAGTGAAAAGTAATAGATAGGACTTAGATGCAAGAAGCAAAAAATGATAAAGCTTTCAGAGATTCACATTGAAAAACATCTTCATGACTTTAAGATAGGGAAGGATATTCTTTTTTTTTTTCTTTCTTCTTTCTTCTTTTTATTACTGGAGGGGCACAGAGACAGACAGAAACACATAAAAATATAGTTAGATACGTGTGGCAGGTTTTGGAGGAGAGCACTCCCATCCTCTGGTATATTCCTCAGATGCCTGCAATAGCCAGGACTTAGCTGGGCTGAAGCTGGGAGCCAGAAACTCAGTCTAGATCTCCTATGTGGGTGACTCAAATATTTGAACCATCACCTGCTGCCTTTCAGGATTTGCAGTGGTAGGAAGCTGGAGTTAGTAGCTGGAGCTGGGATATGAGCATCTTAACCAGTGCTTTACTGTTAGGCCAAATGCCTTCCCTGTAAAGGATTTCTTAAAGAACTATAAAACACAATCATAAAAGAAAAACTGATAAATTTGGCTATATTAAAATTAAGATATCATGGAAAGAGCAGAAGGCAGACCACTGAGCAGGATGTATTTGCAGTACATGAAACTGTCATAAGAATAGTTTCCAAAATAGGTAAAAAAATCCTGTCAATAAAGCAGAAAGACAACCCATCAGAAATATGTTTAAAATATGCAAATAGGCACTTCAAATAAATAAAACTATTGTGACAGAAAAGATGAAAAGATGCTCAATGGGTGGGGTGTTTGATATAGTGGTTAAGACACCACTTGAGAGGACGGCATGCCATATTGAAATGCCTGAGTTCTCAGTCCCAGCTCCAGCTCCACTCCCAATTCTAGCTTCCTACTACTAATGCAGATTTTGGGAATCAGTCAGGAATGGCTCAAGTAGTTGGGTTGCTGCCACATGGGAGACCTGAATTGAATTGCTGGTTCTTAGCGTCAGCTGAGCTCAACCCAGCCCAGCCCAGCCCAGCCCAGCCCAGCCCCAACTATTGGGAGCATTTGGAGAGTGAACCAGCGGAGGAGAGCTTACTCTGTCTCTCTTTCTCTCCTTCTGCCTCTCAAATAAAATTAAATAAATAAATTTTTAAAAGAAAAATGCTTAGCAAAACATAGAGCTGCAAAATAAAACCACAGTCAGATATCATTACACACCCACCAGATGAGCGCAAAATTCAGAAAGCCTTCAATACTAAGTATTAATGAGAATATAGGACAAAAGAAGCTGTTAGTAAATTACTATGTAATGTAATCAAAGCTAAATTATAACTGGGAGGTAGCGCTGTGGTACAGCAGGTAAAGCCACCACTTGCAGAGCTGGCATCCTGTATAGGTGCCGGATCAAGGCTTAGCTGGTCCACTTTGGATTCAGCTCCCTGCTAATGCATCTGGGAAAGCAGTGGAAGATGGCTCAAGTACTTGGTCCCCTGTACCTATGTGGGAGACCTGGAACAAGCTCCTGGCTCCTGGCTTCAGATTGCCCAGCTCCAGCTGTTGCAGCTATTTGGGGAGTGAACCAGAAGATGGAAGATCTCTCTCTGTCTCTCCCTCTCCTCCCACCCCCCTAACTCTACTTTTTGAATAAGTAAATAAATTTTTAAAACATTAAAACTGGAACTGATAATTTTGTACACGAAGACTAAATGATTTTCTGAGGCTAGTTGAGGGCTGCTTGTCACAACTACTTTGGAAAGCTTCAGCATCTGTCAAATGAGTAATAAACATACTCTAAACTTCATAGTTCCACTCCTAGGTGTATGTCTAGAGAAATCCATGTACATACAAACAAGGATATTATCAAACAATGTTCATAGCATCATTGTTGATAATAGCTTCAAAGCAGAAACACCCAGATGCCAATCTGCAGTAAAATGGATAGACGTATTGTGTTGTGTTTTACAATGGAATATTTTAATCAGTAAGAATAAGAAATCTATGTGTGGAATAATATGGATGAATCTCAGACATATATGCTAAATAAAAAGCAGGACATAATATCATGTATATATTATTTTATTAGACAACATTATGAAATAGGAAAATTTGTTTTATTTAAGTGATAAAACTATACAAAGCAAATTAAAATGACTATCACAAAACCAACATTTTATTACAATGAGTTACAAAAAAATTTCGTATAACAAACAGATGCTGAGTGTGGAGATAAAGGGACAGTGAGACCTTTAAGAGAATCAAAATGTACTTCACAGGTAAGTAAAATGTTCAGTTTCTAATTTCTAATCAAAACATTCCAATATAAAACCTGTGTTCATTTTAATTTTAGATTTAGTACAGTGAAGGTTGATTATATGACATGTATTTAGCTTCATAATTAGGAAGTTACAGAGAGTTACAGAATCCATTTTTCATATTAAAAATTAAACCACAAAAGGGAAAATATATAAAAAGGTGTTATTGATAAGTGACAATATATATCAAGACCACCACTGAATTGTGATTGAGGAAAACAGATTGAATGATTTACCATAGGAATTACAGACCAGTGATTCCTGTAAAAACATCTTTAAAAGATTTTATTTATTGACTTATTTGAGAGGCTGAGTGACAGGGAGAAGAAAAGAGAGTGAGAGAGAGCGAGACCGGCATTGTGGCATAGTAAGTTAAGCTACCGCTAGTGATGCTGGCATGGAATTTGGTATAAGTGGAGAAAGTGGAACATTGATAATAAGGGCAGAAATGTGCAAAAATATGATAAGCCAAAGACAGCAGGATTGCTTAGAATTTGAATTACTTTTCCCTTTTAAGGAGATAGCATATACATTCCTTTTAAAAATTTTTATTTAAGTTATACAAGTTTCATGTATTTCATATACAGATTTAGGAACACAGTGATACTTCCTATTCTGCCCACCCTCCCGCCCATGCTCCAGCCTTTCTTCCTTCTCCTCCTTCTCCTATTCCAATTCTTAATTTTTTTTTTATGAAACAAAAGGTTTATTAAACCTAAATGACTTACATTTACTATATAAACAATGGCAGTCCAGGGTACTTGGTCATTTTTGTCCAGACATGAAAGGGAGTTTTTGAAATCAGTAAATGCCATTTTGAAAAGGGTATTCCATCAGAAATAATTTACCAAGTTCAAGATAGGCCTGTTCAGCAAAATCCAAGTTATCCCCTCAGTACTTTACAAATGAAATTTTCTTCTACTTGTGTCCATTTCCCGGGGCTTATGGACCCATTCATATTCTCCATATTTAGAATCAAAGGTTCCTTTCTGAAGAGATCTTAATTTTAAGGTAAAACGTGGTCCAAGTTCCTGAATTCCTGCTTTCTTTTCACTCTTGAATATGTATCTGTGAAATCTGAAGAAGATATAATCCTGCTGATTATGGAATGTGGCAACTTGCCTTCCAATAAACTGAGGATTATGGGGAAAGAGAGAAGCAAACATACGACCAATAGAATGACCTAGCCGTGTTGTAAAATTATTCAGAATTATTTCAGGTCTGTGTTCTGTGGGGTCCTTGCCTCTTCTCTTAATTTCTTTACGAAGACGAACACTACTCATTTTAAAATGAGCAGTTGGACCATTTGGCAAATGACTCAGAATCAGTCCATTTGGTGTTTTACGATCTTCATTAATAACAATCAGATCTGTGAAATCTTGAAATGCACTGTGGAATAATTTTTTTCAGAGCCAGTCCTCTTCTGTAATAAACATGTGAGTTTGGTATAACTGTGGAGAGCTGTTCACAAAGTTTTACTGTTCTCCCATGAGGTCTATCTGATGTTGTGATGAGAATCTTGGGAGAAGTTTGTTGAAGTAAGAAGCAAATTCATCTGTAGCTTCATCATAAGCAACCTCTTCATCATTAGGGTCTACTATGGTTTCATCATACACGCGCTGGTTGTCAATGGTCTTGGGTACAGGCTTTGGTGGAGCCTTATCACCAAGAGCCTCTCTGTTTTTTAAGTTTTTTCTTAGCTGCCAACTTTTCCTTGCGCTACTGTTGCTTCCACCACATGAACATTAAGTGTTGCTGCTGTTTGTTCTTAATCTTGGAAATGCTGAAACCTGGGGGAAATGCAGCTGCTTTCGGGGGCTGAACCCCACTTTCTGTCGCCTCATCCCCAGCGACTGTAGCCTCCTGCGGTTCTTCGGTAACGGCTTTCCTTTTCAGATTTTTCTTCCCCCAACTGCCGGTCTTATCTGCGGCCTTCGCCATTTTCTTTGGTTCTTTGCCCCAATTCTTAATTTTTACAAAGATCTATTTTTAGTTTATTTAATGTTCATAATGTTAACCCTACACTAATAAAGAGTTCAACAAATAGTATGAAGATAAAAAAACACTGTTACTCAACAGAAGAGACAAGGGCAGTAAACAGTCATAAAATCTCAAAAATGTCCATTTCACTCCAATATATTACATTTTAGGTACTCTATTAGTTACCCAAGATCAGGGAAAACTTATGATGTCTGTCTTTTTAGGACTGGTTCATTTCACTAAGTATGATGGTTTCTAGTTGCATTCATTTTGTTGTAAAAGACAGGATTTCATTTTTTCTTTTACAGCTGAGTAGTACTCCATAGTATATATACTTTTTTATCTAATCTACCCATATTATATATTTCTTTATCCAATCCAGTGGACATCTGGGTTGACTCCATATCTTAGCTATTGTGAATTGAGCTGCAGTGAACCTGGGGTTAAAGATAACTCTTTCATATGCTGATTTCTTTTGGTTTGGGTGAATTCCCAGGAGTGGAATGGCTGGGTCATTTAGTAGATTTATTTTCAGATTTCTGAGGAATCTCAATACTGTCTTCCATAATGATTGAACTAGTTTACACTGTTACTAACAGTGGATTAGGGTACATTTGCCCCACATCCATGCCAGCATTTGTTGTTTGTTGATTTCTGTATGAAAGGTATTCTAACTAGGGTGAGGTGAAACATCATTGTGTTTTGGATTTGCATTTCCCTGATGGCTAGTGATCCTGAGCATTTTTTCCAGTGTCTATTGGCCGTTTGAGTTTCCTCTCTTGAAAAATGCCTGTTCAAGTCCTTTGCCCATTTCTTTACTGGATTATTTGTTTTATTGTTGAATGTCTTGAACTCTTTATAAATTCATCATTTTTTCTAGATCTGAAAAGAATATCATTGGTATTTTGATTGGGATCCTATTTAATTTGTAAATTGCTTTTGTTAGTATGGACATTTTGATGATATTGATTCTAATCCATTCAAATGGAAGATTTTTCCATTTTTTATGTCTTCTTCTATATCTTTCCTTAGTGTTTTATAATTATCATTGTAGAGATCATTGACATCCTAGGTTAAATTTATTCCAAGGAGGCCGGCGCTGCGGCTCACTAGGCTAATCCTCCGCCTAGCGGCGCCGGCACACCGGGTTCTAGTCCCGGTTGGGGCACCGGATTCTGTCCCGGTTGCCCCTCTTCCAGGCCAGCCCTCTGCTGTGGCCAGGGAGTGCAGTGGAGGATGGCCCAGGTGCTTGGGCCCTGCACCCCATGGGAGACCAGGAAAAGCACCTTGCTCCTGGCTCCTGCCATCGGATCAGCGCGGTGCGCCGGCCGCAGCGCGCCAGCCGCGGCGGCCATTGGAGGGTGAATCAACGGCAAAAGGAAGACCTTTCTCTCTGTCTCTCTCTCTCTCTCACTGTCCACTCTGCCTGTCAAAAAAAAATAAAAATAAAAAAAAAAATTTATTCCAAGGTGTTTAATTCTTTTTGTAGCTATTGTGAATGGGATTGACCTTAAAAGTTCTTTTTTAGCCATGGAATTGTCTATGTATACAAAGGCTATTATTTTTGTGTGTTAATTTTATATTCTGCCACTTTACCAAACTCTTTTATGAGTTCCAGTAGTCTCTCAGTGGAGTCTTTTGGATCCCCTATATATAGAATCATGTCATCGGCAAATGGGGATAATTTGACTTCCCCCTTTCCAATTTATATCCCTTGATTTCTTTTTCTTGCCTGATGGCTCTGGATAAGTCTTCGAGGGCTATTATTAAATAGCAATAGTGAGAGGGGGCAGCCTTGTCTGTTCCAGATCTTAGTAAGGATGCTTCCAGCTTTTCCCTATTCAATAGGATGCTGGCCGTGGGTTTGTCATAAATTGCCTTGAATGTGTTGAAGAATGTTCCTTCTATACCCAATTTGCCTAAGGTTTTCATCATGAAAGGGTGTATTTTATCAAATGCTATCTCTGAATTTCTTAAGATAATCATATGGATTTTGTTCTTCAGTTTGTTAATGTGATGTATCACATTGATTGATTTGTGAATGTTGAACCATCCCTGCATTCCAGGGATAAATCCCACTTGGTCTGGGTGAAGATCTTTATGATGTATTGTTGGATTCAGTTGGCTAGTATTTTGTTGAGGATCTTTGCATCTGTGTTCATCAGGAAAGTTGGTCTGTAGTTCTCTTTTTCTGTTGTTGTATCTTTTTGAGGTTTAGGAATTAAGGTGATACTGGCTTCATAGAAGGAGTTGTGGAGATTTCTCTTTCTTTCAGTTATTTTGAATAGCTTGAAAAGAATTGCAAATAGTTTTTCTTTAAATATCTGGTAGAATTCAGCAGTGAAGTTATCTGGTCTGAGCTTTTCTTTGTTGGGAAGGCCTTTATTACTGCTTCAGCCTCAGTCTTGGTTATTGGTCTGTTTAGGTTTTCCATGTCCTAATGACTTAATGTTGGTAGTTTGTATATGTTCTGGAATCTATCCATTTTTTTCTGGGTTTCCTGATTTGTTGGCATACAGCTCTTTGTAGTAATTCCTAATGATTCATTTTATTTCTGTGGTATCAGTTGTCATATTTCCTTTATCCTCTTTGATTAATTGATTTGGGTTTTCTCTCTCTTTTTTTGGTTAGTTGGGCCAATAGTGTATCAATTTTGTTTATTTTTTCAAAAAACCAGCTCTTAATTTCACTGATTTTTTTGTTTCAGTTTTGTTTATTTCTTGTCTAATCTTAATTATTTACTTTCTCCTTTTAAGGCTTTCCACTGCATTTTTTTGATCTATTAAATTCTTCATTTCTAATATTTCATTTTGATTTCTATTCAAAATCTCAATTTCATGGGAAAAACTTTCATTCATGTCATGTATGGATTGCTTTAATTCAAGGATTTGCTTCTGGTTGCTTTTGAGTAATCCTATGATTAATTTTTTGAATTCCATTTCTGACATTTCATCAATCTTTTCATCTTCACATTCTAATACTGAAATATTGTTATGTTTCCTTGGGGTGGCATCATGTTGTCTGCCTTATTCTTGTTTCTTGAATTTCTATGTTTATTTTTAAGTATTTTTAGAGATACTTGGTTTTTTCCTCTGATGGCTTTTATATTTGAACTGTACCTCTGTGGCTTAGTGGAATGTCTGCACTTTCAGTGAATACCAGGAAGTGTGTGCTGGGTGTGACCAGGGCTCTCTGGTCAGTGCTCCAGGGTGGGGCGAGTGTCCAGGGTGACACTCAAGTTTGGTGTGGTAGATCTTTTGTTAACAGATGGGGGGGTTGTTTACTTCTGTTGTTACAATCACACCTTTACCTCCTCTCCTCCAAGGTGATCATGCTTGTATATTAGCCCCCAGTGGATGCAATACTCATCCGCACCACTGTATTAGCCATACAGATGATCTGTGCAGTCTTCATTATGAGCGTGCATCTCCCTACAGTGATCTGCCCATGGCAACCTGGGAGCGCCAAGCATGTGGAGCTGCACCCTGTACCCTCTCATGCAGTACAGTCACAGAGTCCCGTCTCAGAGGGTCTGCCCCACCATTCAGTCAGGTCCACAGAGAGGCAGATGTTCCCTGAACCTGCTGTCTGTGGGTACTGTGCCTACACAACTTGAGGCCCCAGGGGCTGTGGTATGTTAGGAGGCTAGGGCGCCTCATGGTCTTATGTCAATCCTGTCAATCCTCCCACTCAGGCTCCAAGTCAGAGGGGACCATGGATTTTCCCTCTGCTAGAATCCCTGAATCACACCCATACACAAGAGCCACTGACCAAATGTTGCTCTTTGCTGCCACTGCTGTCACTGGTACTGCTGAGAAATGTCCTGTCTCAGCTAGTTTCTGCTGTGCATGTACACGAGGGCTTCCACAGCTGTCACGTCCACCCAGAATGGTGCCCCGCCTCTCAGCTAGGTGCCATGCGCCATTGTGGGGAGGATGCAGTGAGAAACATGCCCTTTTACATCCACTGGGTCTACAGGTACCCTCGAGCCCCTAGGGCTCCAGGCTGGACTCCTGCCTCACTCTCCCTCCAGCTGTATCACCGCAGCTTGCTGCATTCTGACCTCACTGCCATCTCCAAGCTAGCGCCCTCCACATCTCTTGCCTGCTGGAGTCATGTATTGCGTTCCTGTTCGTGCTGTGCATCTGCACCTTCCACACAGGTCCACGGCATTCCTCTTTTTTCCATAGAATTTCCACTGTGGTTTTCTCTCTAATTCTCCCTTCAAGGGTGCACTTCTTACACTTTTTTTCTTCGCTGTTTATCACAATCCCAGCACAGTACATTGCTCCCTATTATACTATCTGGGAATCTTAAAGTCTGTACAGTTCTTTGACCAGAGTATAATGTGATAATTGTAAAAGAAAAATCACTCCTAACCATTTTTCTCCATCAATTACATTTTTGGAACTAGGATAGAAAACAGAACTTAGATAATTAAAAATAATTATTATTTCTATTAGATATATTAGTATCACTTTCACCAGTTATTCTTATTTTACTTCGTTAAATAACATCATAGATTAGTGTTTTTCTACCGTACACATTTTTGTATATATCTGATTAATGCAGTAACATTTATTTTTATAGTTTTCTGTTTGAATTTTCAGGCTATCTACACAGAACATTTCGGAAAGACAATAGAAAATAATAGTGACAAAGTAGAAGAAAGAACTGAGAATTTTCCACAAACTCCTGAAATTTCTGTATTTTTAAGAACTCCTGAAGCTGTAAAAACACCTGAATCTTTGGAGAAAGTGCAGTTTCCTAAAACCCCATCATTTGAAATGTGAGATTTTTATTAATAATCACTACAAAATTATCTATATTGGGTTATATAAATAACTGATAGGAATAGGAAGATGCCTACACCTGTAACATTAGCAAGTTTTTACTATGGATTATTTCAGACACACATATGTGTACAGACAGTGTAATTAACTTCCATGTACCCATCACCCTCTGAACAATTACTAACATTTCACAGACCCTCCTCTCACTTTTCTTGAAACATTTAGCTGAAGATGGTATAGTTCCTGAGTACCCATCCATAGTAACAGTATATGGATTTAAGATTTATCAAGGGATAAAAATTATGGAAAAATTTAAAATATGAAGTTAAAAAGCTACTGTCATATATAGTAGATTATGGATCATTAAACAGTGTTCACAGTAGTCATTTTTTTCCCCTTATGTTGCAGTGTCCAAAGCAAAAATTGCCATTCTGTTAAGTAACCTCTTTAGGCATAAATACCACTAACATGAAACATGTAACTTTGGAAAAAAGTGCTACATTTGACCTTTTTATTTTATTTATTTTTAAAAGATTTATTTATTTGAAAGGCAGAATTACAGAGAGGCAGAGAGAGTCTTCCGTCTGCTAGTTCACTCCCTACATGGCCACAATGGCTAGAGCTGTGCCAATCTGAAGCCAGGAGCCAGGAGTTCCCTCCAGGTCTCCCATACGGGTGCAGGGGCCCAAGCACTTGGGCCATCTTCTACTGCTTTCCCAGGCCATAGCAGAGAGCTGGATTGGAATTGGAGCCGCCAGGTCTTGAACTAGCACCCATATGGAATGCTGGACTGCAGGCAGTGGCTTTACTTGCTATGCCACAGCGCTGGTCCCTAGCTATTTTATTTTAATGGTGAACTGTGAGGTACTTCTAGCATGTCGAACATTTCACTTCATCAGGGGTCTATCACTTGTGTTTAACTTCAGTATTTGGAATTACTGTAAGGGTTGTATATATGAATGTCATGTTGACTCAAGTATGTCATTTTCAAAGTGGAGCTCAGCAAATCTGAGAATTGTGAAAGAATGTGAGATCATATTCTAAACCTTTCTCCAAGGATAAGGAAACTATGATCTATAAGTTACTCATTAATGGTCTTAGAGGCACTTATAGCAACATTGTCAGACTTATTAAACTTATGTTTAATAAACATGTATGTAGCATGATGTGCAAGCCATTGTTAAAGGAATTTATAAATATTGCTCATTTATTACAACAACCTTTTGAGGTATAAGTACATTACTATTTTATAGATGAAGAAACAGAGTCACAGGCAATACAGCTGGTCAATGTTACAGTTGATGTTTTAAACCCAGGCAGTTCTGGGCCTACAAAACGTATTTTTAACTGTTGTATCCTGTTTTGTCTAATTGTATTTCATAGATTCTTTTAAAGTTTATTTTATATAGCACTCTGTGATGGTTGGCTTTTCATCAAACCTAAAATACTGTTGGCTTTCAAAATCTTGAAGACAGTAGTGTCAAAGTTAAGAGCTTAGATTTTAAATTTAGATCATTGCATTGAAATCCCAACTCTGGCACTTATATTATTCTTTTGAGCAAATGATTTAAACTCTGTAGGCTTCAAAATCCTCTAAAGTAAAATGAGGATGGTAGAAATAGTGCCTACTTATTTTTAAAAAATATTTTTTTATTTATTTAGTTTAAAGAGTTACAGAGAGATGGAGAGACAGCACTGGGCCAGGCCAAAGCCAGGAGCCAGGAGCTTTATTTGAGTCTCCCATGTGGATAGCAGGGGCCCAAACACTTAGGCCATCATCTGCTGTTTTTCCCAGGTTGTTAGCAGGGTTACTTACTGAAATAACTACTTTCTACATTTCTCTACTAAGCTAATTCTCATCTCTATACTAGTATTTAAGGTGCTCATCAGTCTGTAGGGTTAATAATAGATTTTTAATAGTTTTATGATTTCTTTTTTCTCTGTAACAGAAATAGAAATGCAATACCTGAAGGTCAAACAGAAAAGGGATCTCCTGGATTTTCTTTTCTTATGAGTTATACTTCTAGATCACCTGGATTGAATTTATTTGATTCTTCTATATTTGATTCAGAAATCTCATCAGATCAGGTAACAGAAAAAGCTTAAGTTTTATTTCTAAAAATTGTATACTGTAACTTGAGTAATTTTAGTTGCTTAGTACCAGACTGTCTTGGGACAGAGTACCAAAAAGACAATTTTTTAGAAATTCTGAGTATTGATAGTTTAGCAAATGATACCCCAGGCTGACATTTATTCAATACAAGAAGAATCCCTGGGTAGGGATGATTTCAGTTGCAGTTAAAGGCAGTTTAAAAATGAATCTGGCTTTAATGTATCTAACTTCTAAACATATTTTTAATCAATTTACAAAAGCCTCACATTATAAATTGGTCTTTTCAATTATGTGTGTACATAGCAGTGTTATCATTGCTTAATTTTAGAAGACCTAAAATATTTCCTTCTAATATTGATTTCTACTGTTTAGTGATACTAATAATCCTAAAGTGACTGTTTCTATATTTAGTGGTTAAAACCAGAGATTAAGATATATTTTTAGGAGCAGGCATTTGCTTTATTGGTTTAGATGCATATCAAGACACCCTCACCCCATATTGGAGTTTCCAGGTACAAATCCCAGCTCTGGGTCCTGATTCCGACTCCTTGCTAATACAGAACCTGAGTGGCAGCAAGTGACGACTCAAGCAATTAATTTCCTGATGTTGATATGGGAGAAATGCATTAAATTACCAGTTTTTGCCTTCGGCATGACCTAGCCCTGGCCATTGCAGACATTTAGGGAGTGAATGGGAAAGGAGCACTTGCTGTCACTCTCTGTCTTGATCTCTTTCACTCTCATGGAAAAGAAAAGAGAAAGTGTTTGGTACAGTAGTTAAGATGCTGCTTGGGAGCCAGCACTATGGTATAGTAGGCTAAGCCTCCACCTGTGGTGCTAGTATCTTATATTGGTGCAGGTTTGTGTCCCAATTGCTCCTTTTCCAATTCAGCTCTCTGCCTATAGCCTGGGAACACAATGGAAGATGGCTCAAGTGTTTGGGCCCCTGCACCCAGGTGGGAGACCCAAAAGAAGCTCCTGGCTCCTGGCTTCAGATTGACCCAGCCTCAGCCATTGCAGCCATCTGGGAAGTGAACCAGCAGATGGAAGACCTTTTTCTCCCTCTCTCTCTCTCTGTAACTCTTTCCCTCAAATAAATAAAAGTCCTTTTTTAAAAAGAAACATTTATTTATTTGAAAGGCAGAGTTAGAGAGGGAGAGACAGAGAGAGACAGAGAGATACCTTCTGTCCACTGGTTCATTCCCCAAATAGCTGCAAAAGCCGGGGCTGGGCCAGGATGAAGCCAGGAGCCAGGAGCTTCCCCTGAGTCTCCCACCTGCGTGCAGAGGTACAAGGACATGGGCCATCTTCTGCTTCTTTCCCAGGCCATTATCATGGAGCTAGATTGGAAGTGGAGCAGCCGGGACATGAACAGTGCCCATGTGGGATGTTGGCACTGCAGACTATGTCTTCACCTGCTGCACCACAGCAGTGGCCCCATACATTTTTTTTAAAAAGATTGCTGGTTGGGATATCCACATAGGAGTATGGGGTTTTACCTCATGACTGCTTTCCATCCAGCTTCTCGCTGACATGCACCCTGGGAGGCAGCAAATGATGGCTGAAGTAGTTGGGTCCATGCCACCCATATGGAAGGCCAGGATTGAGTTTCAGGCTCTTGACTTTGGCTTGGCGTGGCCCCAGCTATTGTAGGCGTTTGGAGATTAAACCAGAGGATGAAAGATATATCTCTCTCTCTTTGCCTTCCAAATAAAGTGAAAATAAATACATTAAAACTTTTTTATTAGCCAGCGCCGCAGCTCACTAGGCTAATCCTCCGCCTTGTGGCACTGGCACACCGAGTTCTAGTCCCGGTCGGGGCGCCGGATTCTGTCCCGGTTGCCCCTCTTTCAGGCCAGCTCTCTGCTGTGGCCAGGGAGTGCAGCGGAGGATGGCCCAAGTGCTTGGGCCCTGCACCCCATGGGAGACCAGGATAAGTACCTGGCTCCTGCCATCGGATCAGTGCAGCACGCCGGCCACGGCGGCCATTGGAGGGTGAACCAACGGCAAAAGGAAGACCTTTCTCTCTGACTCTCTCTCTCACTGTCCACTCTGCCTGTCAAAAACAAACAAACAAAAACCTTTTTTATTAATATAAAGAGAAAGATTTCATGTGAAGATAAATATATTTTATTTGTTTTTAAAGATTTATTTATTTATTTGAAAGTCAGGGTTACACACACACACAGACACAGAGAGGGAGGGAGGGAGGAAGGGAGAGAGGGGTCTTCCATCTACTGGTTCATTCCCCAATTTGCTGCAACTGCCAGAGCTGCGCCGATCTGGAGCTAGGAGCCGAGAGCTTCTTCCAGGTCTCCCATGCAGGTGCAGGGGCCTAAACATTTGGGCCATCTTCTACTGCTTTCCCAGGCACTCTAGCAGGGAGCTGGATCAGAAGTGGAGCAGCCGGGACTTGAACTGGCGCCCATATGGAATGCCAGCACTGCAGGCAGCAGCTTTACCCACTATGCCATAGTGCCAGCCCACTAAATACATTTAAAAAACGCATACTTTACTTGAAAAATGGAGAAAATATTGTGAAGTGGTTAAAACTAGACTTTAAAGTCAGATTGCTTGGTTACGTACTATATGTGGGGTTTTGGGAATGGAACTCTGATTCCTTATGTGTAAAATGGAAATAATATTTACTTAATTTTCATTTAGAATAATATGAATGCAAAATACATTTATATATCCTTTTTTTAAAAGGATACATAATCTTTTTAAAACAAGATTTATTCATTTATTTGAAAGTCAGGGTTAGAGGGAGACATGGAGATCTTCTGCCTGCAGGTTCACTTCCCAAATGGCTGCAGCAGCCAGAGTTGGGCCTGGCCGAAGCCAGGAGACAAGAGTTTCATCCTTGGACTTGAGCCATGATCTGTACTTTCCTAGGCACATTAGCATGGAGCTGGATTGGAAGTGCAGCAGCTGGGACTCAAACTGGTGCCGTTATGGGTTGCTGACATTGCAACACCAGCCCCATATGTATAACCTTAACAGGATACGTGTGCATTTTGGGTAGAGGAAAACTACAAATCTACTGAAAATTTGTTTGACTGCTTGGATATATGAAGTACTTGTGTACTCAGAAAATATTTTCTTCTCAAAATAATTTATAAATATAATCAAATTCTAATCTAATTTTAATCCTGGCAATATTATTTATCTTTATTTATTTATTTATTTATTTTTTTGGTGGTAGTGATGGGGAAAGAGGTTGATCAGATAATTAGTAAGTTTTCTAGGGAGAAAGTGGTCAAGAATAATGAAGAAAATGTTTCAAAATAAGATTAGTAATAAATTAAAATGAAATGCTAAAAAATTTAGCTTAAACGCAGAAAAGAGTGAAAGTAACAATACAAAGGGAAGAAAAAGAAAATAGTAAAACAGTCTAAATTATAAACTTTTGTAGAATTACCTTAATATGAATGGTATAAACTCTACATAAAAGGTAGACTGTAAAAATTGATGAAAAAATAAGACCTAAGTTATCTATGAGAGACACAACTAAGATATAAAGACAAAGACAGGTTGAAAATAAATGAATGGAAAATGATATATCTCAAAAGTGCAAGCAATAAATAGGTCGCAGTGGCTATGTTAATATCATTTTGTAATCTTTAAGATAATGTTACTAGAGATAAGAGGAATACTTCATACAGATAAAAGGTTCATTCATAAGGAAGATGTAATAATCACAAATGTTCCCAATAACTGCTTCAAAACTCATGAAATAAAAATTGTCAGAACTAAAGAGAGACCTAAAACATAAACATAATTGGAAATATCCCTCTCTCAGCAATTGATAGAATTACACAACATAGCTAATAAAGATCTTCTGTAAGTTCTAAATAGTACTATCTGTCCCTCTGACTGAATTGACTTTTATAGAACACCACATCCAACAATTACAACATATATAGACTTAAGTCTTGGGCCATAAAATGATTCTCAATGAATGTAAAATGATTAAAATCAGAGTTATGTTCTGTGATCACAACAGAAATAAGTTAGAATTCAAGAAAAATAAGTTATCTTCAAAAATCCTAAATAGGTCTTGAATCAAAGAATAAATCATGAGATAAATCAGAAAAGATATCTAGCCAAATTATTATGAAAATTCAGTTCTTTAAAAACTGTGGGGAAAGGAGACAAGTATTTGGCACGGTGGTTAAAGATTCTGCTTAGGACACCTGCATGCCATATTGGAATGTCTGGTTTGAGTCACAGATCTGCTTCCAATCCAACTGCCCCCTACTGTACACTCTTGGAGGTGGCAAATGATGGTTCAAGTACTTGGGTTTCATGCCACCCATGTTGGAGACCCAGATTGGGTTCTGGATGCCAGGCTTTGCCCTGGACAAGCCCTGGATGATTGTAGGCATTTGGAGAATACAACTATGGATGGAAGATTTCTCTTTGTCTTTCTGCCTATCAAATAAAATGAAAATAAATGAAGTTTAAAAAATTTAAAGCCTGTGGGATGTTGCTAAGACCAGAACAAAATGTTAGCTTTAAATAGTTTAATTAATTATTTAAATAATTAACAGAAAAGAAGAAGGGTCTAAAATCAGTGACCTAAAGTTCTGTCTTGAGATGCCAGAAAAGGAAGAACAAAGCAAATCCAAAGTAAATAGAATAAAGAAAAATGACAAGGACAGATAGAATGAAATGGAAAACAAGCATGAAAGAAAATCAACAAAGTCAAAGTTCTTTGAAACTTATTGACAAAATTGAAGAACTCTTAGCTAGATTGGCAAATAAAAAGTGGTAGTTATTAGGAATAAAAATTCTGAATATTATGAAATATATTGGTAAGAGAAAATTTTCTTTGCATGTATTAAAACATCTTGTAAACCTAAAGAATCAGAATGGTGTGGTAATTAAATAAAGATTGATAGAGTGATCAGCAATATGGACTTTTGTCTCACAATGTAAGAATTTATTTTTAAAACATTTTATTAAAATATAG